CTTTGAGCCCCACTGATTGCATCGCCACAACGCCGCTTTCTTTAACACTCCAGATTTAAACCCAAATCAAGCTTCCGCTCATCAGAACGGCAGGCGTGGACGCCACGGGAAGCAGGAGAGGGATCCTTTGTTTTTCCTTTTTTTTCCCCCCACCGTTCATTTAGAGGTCATAATCAGAGACTGCCCTTCTAATTGCAACCTGAATGAACCCAGAAGCACATTATTCCACATGACTGCCAACGCTAGATGGAAATAATTGCCTTCTGCTCTTTGTTTTTTTTGTTTTTTTAAAACCTTTAGTTCATTCAGGCTCTTTTAAATCTCTGTTTTGCAAAGAATTAGCAAGACCTAATTTGAGCTTGAATAAAAGACGCATGAAAACAGTTTTAGCTGGGTTTACATAAGATGATGAAAACGAAGAGCTTTGCAGGCCGTGTTTGCAGAGAATTACTGCGTTGGCCGACATGCTAGCACGCCATCTGCTCGTGCCCTCTTTCTTCATGGATCTGTGCAATCTCTCCAAGCAAGACGCTGGTGCACCTTACTCCGGGTATTTTTCCATTCTCCCTCTCTTCTCCAGATCCACTCCTCTCTCTTTTTTCTTTTTGCTGCCACTGCAAACAGTCTCCTCATGATTCTTTCTCTTGCCTTTTGTAAAGTCTCTCTTCGAAGGTTTGTTATCTCAGATGGACGGATTAAAAAATGGCAGCCTGTCACGTAACCTATTTCTGTATCCTTAAGAAAACTTGAATGTGCAAATGAGGGAAGAGGAGACGCAGGGTGGGTGTGGGGTTGACTGAACCAAATACAGACTTCCTTTTGTGGCTGCGGCTGAGTGTTTTGGATACCATCCAACTCTGATAAAAATGACTCTTTGCTTTTTCGGAGCCAAGAAAAACTACTATAGATGGAGAAAAAATCATTGTGGCTTAATAAAAAAACTACACCAGCAGCTGTTTGGGTCTTATTGGGTAACCCGGATGTTTTGAGTTTCTCTAAAATTGTTCCAGTCATTTAATGAAAATTAGTGCTGCAACTAATAATTATTTTGCAAGTTCGATTATTTTTTTTCCCACTAATCGATTAATAATCGGATAGCCAAGGGTTCCTGAAAGAATTCTTTTTTTTATGTAACCAGGTGAAACCAAAACTTTTCCCCTTAAGGAGTTATGCATAGAGCAGATTGACAGACGGAAAAATTGTTTTAATCTTCAATTCAATTCAGTTTATTTCTATAGCTCCAATTCACATCATGTCATCTCAGGTCACTTTCCAGTTCACCAGATCATCCAGTCAGATTGAATCAAATTTTTTTTATCTAAGGAAAACCAGCTGATTGCATCAACATATTCACTCTTCATCAATAAGTCGATGCAATGGTGTCACCAGTAGGGGTGGGTATTGCCAAAGAAGTCACGATTCGATTCGAATCACGATACATCACGATACTTGAATTATTGCGATGCATTGCAATATTTTCTCCTCCACGTTTTATTTTTGAATGACTCGACGCAGTGACACAAGGCAGCGTGCGTCAACACATCCACAGCGACATCTACTGGACTGGAAGTTGTATTACACTTGATTTTGGCTGATGTTCGCCAACCATTCATGCAATTTTATTTATTCATTTTTTTTAATTAATAATCGATACTTGGCGTCAAGAATCGATGCAGTAGATCACGAAAATTAGAATCACGATGCATCATCAGGACGATTATTTTGCACACCCCTAGTCACCAGCCAGCGTGCCTGAAAAACAGGCCAAGCTCCAACATCTGGAAACAAAGGTGTTGATGGCAGCAGCACAGCTGATATTTCTCTCCAGGATGGAGTCACAGCCAAACAGGAACAGACCAGATGAAGCTACTTTGAGAAAAAGCAGAGAGAGCAGAACGTTAGAGGTTGAACTAACAGATTCTGCAGAGTGGGAGAATAGAGATAGAATGAAGCAGAATGATGAAAAAGGGGTCCCTATGTCCTCCAGCAGTCTAAGCCATTAGCAGCATAACTATAGAGATTTTACAACTAATCGCTGTTTGAAACTGATATAAAACACCTTAATTAGTGATGAAGGCTCCAATCTTCCTTCAAGGTGTTACAGTTTCTACCTTCATTATTATTTCTTTGTTTAAACAGAACGGCATTATTACTTTGGATCGTTTCCTGTTTTTTCTGCATTGTTGCAACTGAAGATATTTGTAAGCAGAATTGCATGTGCGGACCCAGCCCTATTGCTACCGAGGGACAGGAGATAAGGATGCTGAGGATGGATTTTTGTCCTGAGCTACCTTTTTTATGGCGTGAATATCCTTTCCTGAAGCAACAAATCTTCCAGGATATCCTCACGTGTTTGCACATTTTTCTGATCTGATTGGATTGCTTTGACCTCTCTGCCTCTAATAGTCATTTTTAGTTGAATGGGAACCACTGAATTGGTCCTGCAGTCTTAATGGAAGCTTATGGAGAAGTGGAAATGTAATGTGGCTCGATTTATAATTCCAGCAAAGATCAGCCGACTGTATCAAAGAATGATGTTTATTGCTTTCTCCTTATCTTGGTAATATCGGTTGTTCTTTATACTTTATACCCATCTTTATGCTTTCATCCCTTTATGGTTTATTTTAGGTTTGATTTTCTTGTATTTGCAGTCAGAATTAGATGATTGCTTTGGAATCTACTTTCATCGCATTAACATCAGGTTTAGCCTCTGAGCCCTAATGGTTTGCTGTTTGGGATTTGATTTATATTTTTTCCCCCATTTTTTTTTTCCCTTCTCCTCTTTGACCTTTTTGTTGGTGATATTTACATATTTTGTCCCAATTGGGTCCCTGTAGCTGGCCTAGTGGTCCCTGTGTTTGCATACTGGATCAATAGTCCCTCTACTTTCCTCCACTAGCATTAATAAGATCATTGATTAGCTGCCTCCTAGTTATTGATTACCCCTTTACACCACTGACATAGTCTATTATTAGTTAACTCCAATCCGCATCTTATAGGATGCCTTTGTTCTTGTTGGCGATTACAAGCAAACAAAGAAAATGTTTGATACCCAAAACATGTAGTAGAAGAGAAAGCCAGTCTTAAGCAGAGTAGTGCTTATGCAGTTGGTGAAAAGGTTGGGAAAATGCGCTGTTTTAGGTTTTTATTCCATGTAGCTGGAGGAGGAGCGGCCCTAGCAGAGCGTAAGGAGTGATGGATGGGAAGCCGTCTAGGTTTCATTCCAGCAAACAAGCAGCGTTCCTCTTGGTCTTCTCTCCACAGGACCAGCCAGTAAACCACAGACTTAGACGGATAGGCCCACCCCCACCCCCCCCCCGCTGGGTGTGAGAGGGCAGCAAGGAAACGGGAAGAAATTAGAGTTAAAAAAAAAATAAATAAATAATACTGCTCTCCTCATCATGGTCCACCATGGTTGTTGTTTTTCTTGCTGTTTCTGCGTAGCAAGATGCAAAATAGTGACATTTGTGGCGTACAGGATAAATCTGGCCTGGATGTTCAGGACCACAGAGCTAAGTGGCCTGGATCGCATTGGAAAAAATCGGATCTGAGTTTTTCAGACTGTCATAAAAAGATCAGATACAGGTCACATGTGGACAAAACCCATCTCTTTGGGGGGCAGTGGGCTGCTATTGTTTGGGCTTAAGGGTCTTGCTCAAGAATCCAGAGTGGAGGCTATGGGGATTGAACCGGGTACTTGCAGCCTTCTCAGAGCACAAGCGCACTGCTCTAACCTCCTGGGCCAACACTCCCTCACATACTATGGTTCTCCCTAATTTTTATCTTTTTATTAGTAAACATTAATTTTTATCCTAGTTATCAAATTTCAGCTATGGGAATCTCAAAGGACTCAAGCGCAGTTTCTCAATTCACAAGAAGTACGGACTTGTGTCGTCAATTGGAACAGAAACGTACTGATGACATCACCACACGTTCAGCTCGTCTGGAGCTGCATTTCGCCTCCTGTTATTAATAGTCTCTAGATAATAATAAATTATTACTTTTTTCATTTAGTAGGGGAATAATAATGAACACAATCAGATAAACAAAAATCAAATGAACATTTTGCCAAATAAAACCAAAAATCGGCATCATAGGCAACGGTACCTCACACACGGCTACCCCGAGGGAGAGGGCTGCTGCAGACGGGCTAATGTTAGCCCTGGCTGCCGTTAGCCTCGGAGCTCCGTGGGTTGCTGCGGTCCTCTCAATTTCAGAAAGTTTATTTTTTAATTGCGCATTAAATCGGCTCTGATGCATGCTGGGTAAAGAGGGAAGGGCCAGAACAACATCTGGGGACTTTGTCCATTCTCTTTCTTCTTGTTCTTGTGAATTGGAACAGTACTAGGGCTGAGGCTGATGATGTTTTACAAGCACATGATAGGGTTAGGGTTAACCCTAACCCTTAGGTTTGCAATCATAGCTTAGACCAAGCAGGAACTAGATTAATCTTCATAAGACTCAGGCTGTGTCCGAATGTCCGCCCTAATCGCTACATTCACGTCATTTATAATGAGTGTCCGAACATCTATTGGATGAAAACGTATTACACTAGGATCGTATTTCCGGTATTTCCCACAATGCAGCTTGAAAAGAAGTGATCATCCATGGTCACTAGATGAGCAGATATATCCCAGAATTCTTTGTGAGAGCTCTCCTCACGAAGCATCATGGGATTTGTTGTAGCGGCCTGCTGTCTGAGACAAATAACAAAGATGGCGCATGCAGCATACGAGGAGGCAGAGTCACATGACCGACACGCAGCGAAAACTAGTGGTCATCTTTCCGAACGGTCAGTTAACTAAGTTCACTATAAAGTCCACTATATAGTCCCCGCTCTACATAGTGATTGAGGGATTTATGGGTTAGGGCAAACACAGCTTGACACTTCAAATCTCCTTTGTTTGAATTCACCACTATTACATGTTCTCTTCCTTGTTAATTATAGACCGCTCTTATGATTTGTCTCAATCTTCCTTTCCCTTCTGTTTTTCCTTTAGACATATCCCTACTGAGCAGCTGTGGTACCCAGTATGCTAGGTCTCATTGGGGAGCCTCTGTACCTGTTGATGGACCTTCCAGTGGCAAGAGCTGGGACAAAGTGATCATTGACGGAAGTGATAAAGAAGCTTGGCCCTCCATTAATCGTGATATAGACTCTGGACAGCCAGCGATTCCAGAATGTTCCTTGGGCTCAGCTAGCTCTAAACTGGACACCAGTGCTGTCACTTTGAGTAGGAGTGGTCTTCTGAGTATGGCCGCAGGTGCTACTGGCCAGCAGGCCTACTATAACTCTCTAAAACCAAACAGTAACATGACGGGACCTGTGTCAGCCAGCACATTAGCGGCTAGTAGAGGCTGGGGCTCAGATGTCAAACAAGAGGCCATGAATGGTGGAAGAGTAGCAGCCCCCAGTAACTGGGGATCCTCTAATTATAACTTGAACCTCAACCCCAATGCCAACCCATCAGCTTGGCCTGTTCTGGGACATGAAGGTGGGGCGGGAGGTATTAATGGCCCCAGCTCTTCCTCCCTACCAATGGGCATGAACGGGAATGCAGACAATGGTGGGGGGGGTTGGGGCAGCATGATAAGTGCTAATGACAATGATCAGCAGCACCTTTCAACCAACAAAAATCTATCTCTCAACATGGAGCCTGCTAACCTTAACACTGATGGACCAAACTACACTAAACAACAACCAGCTCAGGAGCCAATGAGCCCCATCCACGGTCTGACTGGCTGGGGTGGTCATTCACCCACTGAATCTTCCCAGCTCAGTGGGGACACGACAGGCAGCTCCGTGTGGGGTGGAGAAGAAAACAAGGTGACCGAGTCCCCCAAAGACTCAGGCTGGGACTCGTCTCCTGGAGGCCTTTCTGCCTGGGGCCGTCAAGGCAGCGGTGGTGGGAGTAGTGGCAGTGGAGGCTGGGGAGACTGGGGAAAATCCCCCGGGGCTGGTGAGGTATCCAAAGGCTGGGACTCAGGGGATGCTGGTACTCCTGTTCTAGGCCAAGAGCAGCCAATGAGCTCTTGGGGCAAACAACCAGGAACAGCTCCAGCCAGCGAGGATAGCGGTGGTAGCAGTGAAGGGCGATCCCGCCGCAGAGACAGATCCTCCAGTATGGATTTTGGCCCTCTGCTTCCCCGGCAGGACTTAGACCCCCGAGTGCTGAGTAACTCGGGTTGGGGCCAAACCCCCGTCAGACAGCACACTGTATGGGAGATGGAAGAAGCCAATTCTGATGACGGAAAGAGCAATAGCAGCTCAGACACCATGGGATCCTCCAGCTCCAATGGTGGACCATCATCAACCAACGGGGGTGCTATCAACCCAAATGTTGGGACCAGCCAGAGGCCTGGATCTGGAGGAAAAAGAGACAATGAAGGTTCATCCTCCTCTGGTTGGGGGGCTCCTCCACCGCAGCCAATCCAAACTGGATCAGGATGGGGGGAACCCCAACCTTCTGTAACCAAAGTCCCAAACGGCTCAGCCTGTGGCTGGGGAGACCCTCCACCCTCCGGTGGTTCAAGAAATGAGGTCACATCATCCTGGGGTTCGGATAAGTCCTCTAACTGGGATGATGGTATGATGAAGAACAAGTCTAGCAACTGGGGAGAAGGCCCCAAAACCCCCCACGGCTGGGGCAACAATAATGGGGGATCCAATGGGGACTGGGGAGCGCCAGACATCAAGAAAAATGGTTCCTCCTGCAACATGTGGGACGGAGAAGAAGGAAATAGGGAAACCAGCGGATGGAATGCAAGCCCAAGAGGAGAAAACAGAGGAGGCGGGAACTGGGGGAAATCCACTCCTCCTGTGAGCAGCGGTAACTGGGGAGAGAGCCAACGTTCCAGTGGCCCAGTGCAGGGAGGCTGGAGCTCCTCCAAGCCCCAGGAAAGCAGCAGCAGTGGCAGCAGTACTGGCAGTGGAGGATGTATCAGCATTGGTTCCTGGGGTGGTCCTGGCTCTGTGAAACAAACCAACTCTGGCTGGGGAAACGCTGGCAAACCGGAGCCGGGCATGGAGCCCACCGGTTGGGAAGAACCCTCTCCTCCCTCCGTCCACCGGAAGATGGAGATCGATGACGGAACGTCAACCTGGGGAGATCCCAACACCTATAGCAAGACAGTCAACATGTGGGATCGCAACAATCCCAACAATAACCCCAACCACAGCGGCCCACCGCCCAGCAAGAACGGTGCAATAACTATGATCAATAATAACAACAATCATTCTCACCACATGCACCACCATTCCCTCAACGGCCAACCCCCAAGTCGCATGCTGCACCAAGGAAACAACAATGGGTCACCAAACGGTGCTGCCTCGCATCCCGCTGGGGGGCCACAGGGTAGACCACCACTCGCCAATCCAGGTAAGCAAAACCCCTGACAGTTCAAAACCGCCGTTTAGACGATCCTAGAAACTGATAAACTTAAGAAACACACATCAACTTTTATTTTCATGAGATTGGTATGGGTATTCACCATTTGATTGTTTCTTAACATGTGATTATCCCAAATTTAAATGTTATGTTTGAGGCAAAATTTCGATGTGTGGATGAGGCAGATATCTGATATCAAATATCTATAATTAGAAAGGTGATTTCTTAGTTAGGTAACCATTTCCAATAAGTGTGTGCAATGAAAAGACAAAGTAGACAGAGATTTGATTTCAAATGTTTTCATACCCCTGTTAGTTTAGTACTGCAGGGTGTTGGTTTTATTTACAATAAGTAAAGTATTGCAAACAATAAAGCCTCTTTTCCACTGAAAATACCAGGTTAGTGCATGTTTTTTAAATAGGAATCGACCCGCTCACAATCGGCATTCGGCTCCCCCTACCACTGGCTAAATACGCTGGTCTAACCCCTCGCTGGCAGCTGCGTGTCTGGTGACATCATCACGGTGGGTCAGCATTGATGATATCACCAGTGCGACAGAAATTCGGAAAGTAAACAATGGAGAGCAGCATGGAAAGAAGCCAGGGCGCAGTCCGTGTTCTTTATTGTTTCTCTCTAATATCTGAATCCCTCCAACCAAAGCTGCTCCATGTTTATCCAATTTAAACAGAGTTGTTTCTTCTTGTTAGATCAGAAGCGACTGGCGCAACATGTTGACGTCCGTATGTTGCGCTCGATAGTATTACGTAATTAGTGGGTTAGCCTGGCTGTGGTGATCCCACAACATGCCGATCAGGGCCCAGGAGATTTCAATGCGGGTCGTTTGCCGAGTCGTTAGACTCGGTGTTGTCGGAAAATTTAGATTTCTCATCTTTCGTGTACTGATTTCATTGTTTACTCACTATAAAAGTTTTCCATCAGTCTGTTTCACCTGCAAGGCCACACATTGCCTGAGTGATGGGTGTTTGTAGACATAATAATTTTCCCCACTACACCCGGGTAGACACACGTCAGTAAGCTGTTCCCACTGCCACTAAAAGCTGATTGTTCCCAGGTTTAAACTGCTTTTTCAACCAGTGGAAAAAGGGTAAAAGTGAATTATTTACTTTAGTATCAAAATGTAATGATGCAACATGTCTGATCACTGGTCTTTTTGTTTGTATTTTTACTTTTCTTCTACTTTTCTCATTTAATTTTTTTCTCTCCCAGGTTGGGGAGAGCTCCCCAGTGTCCAGCCCAAGTCGGAGCAAGCATGGGGAGAGCCAGCAGCTCCGACTTCAGCTGTTGACAATGGTACATCTGCTTGGGGTAAACCCCCAGGTGGTCTTGGAGGATGGGGAGACGGTGGCCATGAGCCATCTGGCCCGTATGTCCGGTCGAATGGACCCACAGGTTCTGCACCTTGCAAGTCAGGTAACCTATATACACCAAACTTTTGTGTCCGGCTTTAGTTATATATTCCAACATGGATGCATATGTTACCTGGGCAATAAGTGGAAATGCAGCCGCCAAGATGACACGGTGTCTGTCTGCATGTGCTTTATTTACCTCAGGGAGTTTACATTTCAGTCAGAAGGCGTCTGTTGTTGTTCCTAGAGTGAGATGCTTGCTAAGATTAAAGCAATTCCACGCACCAGTAGGTTGTGGTTGTTTTTACTGTGGGGTTGAACTGTTTGAAATGATTGGAAAGGGGGTTTCTGGGAATGTTGGAAAAAGCAACAGTGCCACCTAGTGATCAGGTCAAGAACTGCCCACTGTTCCTCCTGCTGATAGAATTTGTTTCTTTAATATTAGAATATTAATATTAAAAACAACTAACTTCTTTATATGTGCTATACATTCTTTAGGCCCCAAACCTATGCAAGATGGCTGGGGAAATGGAGAGGAAATGAGCATGTCTACCAGCCAGTGGGACACTGAAGATGGGGACGTATGGAACAGTCCAGCGTCACAGGACAGCAGCTCCTCCTGTAACTCCTGGGGCAACGGACTCAAAAAGTGTCCAAGCAAGGTCAGAGAACAACCTCAAAAACATGCCTTTGTTTACTCTTAATGTCCTAACGATGGTGGAAACGGATTGACGGATATTTCTCTGCTGTTTCACAGGGGAAAATCGGCAGCAAGCAAGATGAGACTTGGATCATGAACCGCCTCATTAAACAGCTGACTGACATGGGCTTTCCGGTAGGAATACAGAGTTAAAGACAAACAAACACGAACAAATTCACAGAGAATGATGGAAAAAGACAAGATTGGGCTAATCAGATGAAAAAAATACTTTAAGATTTACCGTATTTATTGGTTTAAAAAGAAAAATGAGAAGCGGTTGGACTGATTCATGCAAATACTGAAAACAATGGCTGCTTTTTAGTTATGCTTTGAATAAATAGGAGGGGAAAGACAGATTTGGGTTTATTTCAGCGTCCAATTTCTATAGCGCCAATTCACAGCATCTCAACGCACTTTCCAGTTCACCAGATCTTCCAGTCAAATTGATTGAAAGTTTTTTTATCTAAGAAAAACAGTTGAATGCATCGAATCATTGACTCTAAGGCAATTCCTCACACTAAACAACCATCTGCTGAAGCCAACTGTGGTTGAAGGAGTCAGAAGCAGAGATACAAAAGGCAACTTTAAAAGGCGGCCCCGTCCAGGAAACACACAGCCAGGCAGACGAGCTCCGAGCCAGCTCCCATGTCAGAGGATGAAGAGAGCACATCCAGTTAGTCACA